CCTATCCCTCGTGTGCCTTCGCTCCCACCACTATATATATATATATATATAATTGAGTCTAATCCCGATCGGATCCACCTGCACCTAGATTCAAATTTTGAATCTGGATCTGACCCTTCGAATCCAAATCTTAGATCCATACCCAGATCCATATAGGATCCGAAATTTGGGTTTCGGATCCAAACCGAGAAACTTTTCACCCCTAAACACAACCTCCAAAATAAAACGAGTGCAAAGGGTGCTTTCATGTAGGATGTATTAAGGGATTTCAAGTTGTGAAATAGTGCATCGTTTAACGTTATCTAGACTGTTCATTTTTTTTAAAAAATAGTTATTTATAGATCAATACGTTTTAAGAGCATTAAATTTATAATTTGTGGTACAACCGATTTTCAAAACGGCATCATTCAACATAGTTTAAGGTGCGCCTTACTTTGATTGTATACAAAATTACAACCCTTACCTTACATTTATCCTAGTAGGCAAACATGGTTCATGTATGTGTATTGTGATATATTTTTGGGTTATGTTAGGGTGTTCACACTATTGAGTAATTTATTATTGCACTCAACAAACTCAAATTTTGGATACTTATATACTTTTGTTTTTTACATAGAGCATTTTTTTAATTAGGGTATTTTTTATTATTAGGTGAGATGTGATGTCATTTATATGGGGTGTGACATCACCCACGGAGTATTAAATGTCACTCGTATGCTCTATGTGGTTGATATCACATGTATAAAACGAGGGTATAGTAGTGCCCAAAATTTGTTGAGTACAATTATAAATTGCTCCATAGTGTTGAGAAGTCATATTGTGATAAATATCATTTCAAAACATTTGCATATCTTTTGTTCCTTCATTTGTTAGTGTCTTTCCAAAAGAAAAAAAAGAGAGTTAGAAACCACTTAATAAGATAGAAATCTCTTCTATAACTACACCACCACTTAAGAGTACTTCTTTTTTATTGTTGCTACTAGTGTTTGAAAATTCGGATTGATGGAGTGGATTGTCCAATCCATAGATCTATGTGACATTGTTGGATCATCGATCTAGATGGACTAGATAAGCTAAAACAAAAAAAAAAATTTCTAAAAAAAAAAAAAAATCATAAAAAATATACCTTAATTTTTTGATTATTAGAAATAAACCAAAAAAATTTCAAAACCTCATCCATATCCGTTTTTTGGGTGAGTAGATAAAAATAGCCTTCACTGTAGTCTTAGAACCGTGATGGTCATGACGGGTATTAAGTCAAATATAGTTTTGAAGCATCACGGCAGTTAAAGAACTGTGATGGTTTATTGGACTATCATGGTTCTAATTTAACCATTATACTAAGCATCATGGCTTTTAAAGTGTCGTGATGCCTTAACGACCATCACGGCTTTTTAAGTGCCGTGATGCCTCTTAACAACCATCATGGTTGTTTAAGGGCCATGATACCTCAAAATATTAAACCGTCAATGACCATCATGGTAGTGATTCTACTGTGATATCTTCATGACTCTAAGACTAATGTAAATGCTATTTTGGTCAAAAAAAAATGCAAAAAGTGAAGAAAATGGGTATAAATGAGGTTTTAGAAAATTTAGTGTTTATTTCTAATAATTCAAAATTTCAGGTATCTTTTTATAAGTTCCCAAAAAATTCGATAGAAGGGTGGTTTTGGGGTTTGGGGGAAACCAAGCCCATACCAGTTCCTTCCCACATTCAGTTCATTATCGACTAATTCCCGATCACAATCCAGGATTGATGATCCGGATCGGTGGGACATTTATTAATAGGTGCGGATCATTTGCCATTTTTAGGGGGTATGAGGCTCACTTTAGCCGAAGATTGAGGCCCCTCTTGTAGGGTTTCTGTATTAGTGAAGTTTGCTATAGAATGGAAGACATGTTGCTACTTTTGGCCCTTTGCAATTAAGTACGTATGATTTTAAGATAGGAAAAATAGAAGGTGCATTGGGGGATGCACTTCTACAATTGTGTGTCCCCTGAAGCACTCAATAGTGGCCCACACATATTTTGAATAAGGGTGTTAAAATGATAGTAAAAAGGGTTGCGGTTTGTATAAGGTTAAGGCCTTAAACAGTTAAAGTAAGGTGCACTTTCAAATAGTATTGAAAGACATTGTTTCAATACTGGAAATCTCTATGATGGCTTGAAAATTTATTTTCTTTTCTAATTATAAAACTTGAAAATTGAGTAGATTTGAGTAGATCTACAGACAATTAAAAAATTTGAAAATTGATGGTTTGGAAATATATTACAAGATGCGTTATTTTCGATGAAATCTATTTTTTTTCATATCTATATATCTTGAGATCAACTTGATCAATTTGAAGAATTTTTCGGCATCGAAACAACTTCTTTTAATGAATTTTTAAAGTGCACCTTAATTTAATTATTTAGGGCCTCCCCCTTTATTCAGGCTTAAGACACGCAATCACAGTTTTAAATCACTGTTGAACAGGGGAAAGTACAATCTGTGTCCAGTGACATTGAAATTAAACAACTATATTGGTCTTTTTAGCAGGATTGGAGAATTAATTATTTTTTTTTTTTTTTCTTATTTTTTTTAGATAATTCAAAGGAAAAGAGAAGCCCTACCCATTTTTTAAGTGTGATGTTCAAAATTCGATCGAAATCCACCATTAACACTCACGAAACCAGCATTACATATTCAAATTTCACTAATATTTTGCACCTCTTCTGATACAGATGGAGTACCCCACCCAAATACGAACTCTTGTGGGTGACAATCTAAGGCCAACGCCATGGCAACCCTTTCATCACCAGCCCCAAATCCAGGGCGACTCTTGGTGGAGCTACAAACGAGCTGCACAAGTTTGGCAATGCACCCACCTGAGCTGCCTTTTAACATGGCCCACTACTCACAAACCACTCATCGGCTCGACCAGGGCTCAATGTCCGAACCAATTCCAGTGGATCCATGAGGACTTGAGACCCTGGAGGAGCCAAGGGATTTCAAGAGAAGTTTTGGAGTCAGGGAAGCCTAGAGCAGCATTCCGAGCCATAATAAAAAACGGGCGCTTGTACATTGACCTTTACTACTCATGCGTGCAAACCCGAGCCATGTTTAGCGTTTGGGGTCTGGTGCAGTTGGTGAAGAGGTATGGGACGTTGATCCCAGACGTTGAGTTCATGTTTGATTGCATGGATAGGCCAGTGATTGAGCGGTCGCGCTACAAGTGGAAGCTGCCTCCCCCCTTGTTTCGCTATTGTAGCAACCGTGGCAGCTTTGATATTCCCTTTCCTGACTGGTCCTTTTGGGGATGGTATGGTTCATGAGCTATGTCTGTAATCTCTCTCTATAGAGCATTTTATAATTGTTATATATATATATATAGAAAAACACTATATAACACTAATAGACGAAAATGAACAGTGATTTCGCTTACCCCCATCACCGTCCAAAGTTTATCGCGCAATCACGATTTGTCTGATAGTGTTTCATTTTTCATTTGTTTTTCTACAAATTGGAATGACCTAAAATTTGGAATGTGTATTCATCAAAAATAGGGGAATCTTCAAAAAATATAAAACAAATATTTTACATGAAAAAAACTTACCAAAATACCCCCTAAGTCAATTTATTTTTTGCAGATAATTGTTTTTATATTTTTATTAGATGTGTCTCAATAAGATGTACTTACCATTCAAATTTTAAGTCATTCCGATTCGTAGAAAAAAAATGAAAAATAAAATACTACTGGACAATCGTGACTGTACGTTGAAATTTAGACGGTGAAGAGGGTCGGCGAAATCGCTATTCATTTTCGTCTATAGGCATTGGGAAGACGTTGGGTTATGTTAGGGTGCTCACATTATAGAGTAATTTATAATTATACTCAACAATTTTGGATATTTATATACCTTTGCTTTGTACAAAGAGAATTTTTTCATAAGGGCATTAATGGTCATTAAGAGGGATGTGACATCATCCACATGAGGTATGACATCATTCATATGGAGCATTAAAACCACTAGTGTGTCCATGTGGGTGACATCATACCCTATGTGGATGATGCCACACCCCTCCAAATGACAAAAAAATACCCTAACTAAAAAAAGTGCTCCACATATAAAACAAGGATATATCAAAATTGTTGAGTACAATGATAAATTAGTCGATAGTGTAAGCACGTAAACGTAATCTTATATATATATATATATATATATATATAT